CATTATCAGCAACAGATTTCTGTATATTGATTTTGTATCCTGCTACTTTGCTGAATACGCTTATTAGTTCTAAGAGTTTCTTGGAGGAGTCTTTGGGATTTTCTATATATAGTATCATGTCATCTGCAAATAGTGACAGTTTTACCTCTTCCTTTCCAGTTTAGATGCCTTTTATTTACTTTTCTTACCTAATTGCTGTAGTTAGAACTTCCAGTACTATGTTGAAGAACATAGTGGGCATCCTTGTCTTGTTCCTGATCTTGGAGGAAAAGCTTTCAGCTTTTCACCATTCAGTATGATTTAGCTGTGGGTTTGTCATATGTGGCCTTAATTATGTTGAGCTATGTTCCTCTATATCTACTTTGTTGAGACTTTTTATCATGAATGTATGTTGAATTTTGTCAAATGCTTTTTCTGCTTTTATTGAGATGATCATATGATTTTTATCCTTTGTTTTGTTAACGTGGTGTATCACATTGTTGGATATACATATGTTAAACCATCCTAGCATCCCTGGAATGAATCCCACTTGACATGGTGTATGATCCTTACAATGTATTGTTGGATTCAGTTTGCTAGTATTTTGTTGAGGATTTGGGCATCTATATTCATCAAGGATATTGGCCTGTAGTTTTCTTTGTGTGTGTGTGTGGTGCCTTTGACGGGTTTTGGTATCAGGGAGATGCTGGCCTCATAAAATGAGCTTGGGAGTTTCCTTCCTCTTTAGTTTGTTGGAATAATTCGAGAAGGATGGGTATAAGTCTTCTCTGAATCTTGGGTAGAATTCACCTGTGAAGCCATCTAGACCTGGACCTTTGTTTGGGGGAAGTTTTTTGATTACTGATTCAGTTTTGTTACTGGTATTCGGTTTATTTAGATTTTTCTATTCATGATTCAGCCTCGGAAGATCGTATGTTTCCATTCCCTCTAGGTCGTCGAATTTGTTGGCGTATAATTGTTCATAGTAACAATTTGTTACTCCTTTGTATTTCTGTGATGTTAGTTGTAATTTCTCCACCTAATCACCATAGGATAATGAGGAGATGATGGTGAGGACATGGCACTCATAGGCCATGTTACAGGTTAACTTCGTTTTAATGAAATGAATTGACTCCCTGAAAAATTAAATGTCACATTTTATAAATCAAATTCTATTCTCTTTGACTTCCTTTAATTTCAGAGATAATTTTCCATAATTTTAATTGACTTTTAACTGGCAACACTTCTTAATTTAAGCTTTAAATTTTTTTTCCTTTGGCCAAGTTTTTGCATTAATATTTTATGAAACAAGGCCTCTGGGGACAGACACTATCATTTTATTATTTGTAAAATGTTTTACAGTTTTCCTATAATGAATGAACGTCTCTTTTTTTAATATTAGATTTCCAGATGACTCTGTTAAAGTAGGATGTGACTTTATTTCAGGGTGTGTGTGTGTGTGCCGGTGTGCTTGTTTCCCTAACGTCGCCTGTAATCCCTTCTCTAACGTAATGACATTGTTTGTATGGGAGGCAGAGTGCAGACCCAGGTGTGTGTGTAGCGTGAGAGCCGGAGCTTCTCATGCCTGCAGGCCTGGCTCCCACCCATTCCTATGCCTGGCGTGGCTGCTGTGCCTGGTGAGCTCCTGCTCAAACGATGGCCCTTGCCACCCAATGTACAACTGGGGAGGGCAGCCTCGCCTGGGAGCCAGCTAGGCAGCCAGACACACGGGTCAGAATCTCCACCCCCGTGCACCCCAGCACTTCATAGCACGACTTTAAGCCCATGCCTGTCCCCTGGGCTGAGGCACTTAGTAGGTAGGGGACACAGTCTCCTTCTTTGATCACCTTCCCACGACGCTGGGCCCCTCCTTGTGTCTTAGCTGTCTGCCGTCTTCTGGAATCACTTACCTGGTTGCACAGGTGACCATCAGCTTCTAATTGATCACTTCCTTGGTTCTGGATCAGAACCATCTCAGACCTGCTGAATCAGAACCCTTGAGGGCAGAGCCCCGCATCTACATTTTATCGAACTCCCTGGTTGGTTCTTTGTGTCAGCTGGAGCCGAGAGCCCTGTGCTGGTCCCTGGGCTCTCCCAAGGCAAGGCAAGCGTTAACAGGAAGTGAAGTTGATTTTACTCATCTAAGAAAAATGTATTGGCAGGGAATTCCCTGGCAGTCCAGTGGTTAGGACCCCACGCTTCCCTGCCAACGGGCCCGGGTTTAATCCCTGGTCGGGGAGCCAAGATCCCGTTAGCTGCGTGGCCCTGCCAACAGCGAACAAGCAGAGACGTATCGGGAGCTAAAGATTGTTCAAACTTGTTTTTTTTGCAAACATTTAAAAATATCCAGACACACCATAAAAACAGCAACAGAATCATATTTTGTGAGGACTGTAATAGTTTAAACCAGCTCTTGCACTGATCCTAAACACTCGGTGAGCCAAACGCAAAGCCGGGACTGGACCGGGGCTGCCCTGGGCTCCCGGCGTCCAGTGCACAGCCCGCCGGGGTGAGCTGTGTCAGGGGAGGGGCAGGCAGGGTGGGGGCGGTCAGCTGCACAGGGAGCCGGGGCGTCGCAGGGGAAGGGCTGGCCCAGCTGGGAGCGAGGGCCCCTTTCTCTGGAGATGTGCCCTCCGCCCCCGGCAGCCGGTGGGGGGACAGGGGGCATTGTGTTCCCACAGTTCAGATGTTTGGGGTCCCCCAGCAAGGCTGAAATGACTGAGCCTCGGTCGTTCAGAGGGTCACTGGGGTGGAAAGTGACCCGTGCTTAGTGGAGGGGAATTTAAGCCAGGAGTGGAGCGGGGCTGTGAGGAAAGCGGTGGCCCCGAAAAGCAACAGGGCGCGATTGCCCACGGCGCCTGGGTTTGCAAAGGCCCGGGAAACCCCAGCAAACCCGTGCTCCTTTAGCATAAGCTTTTGGCCCCGATCCACCCCAGCACGCGTCCTCCCTCTCGCGCCGCCCGCGAGGGGCCCATCGGTGGGTCCTCGGCTGCGCCCACAGACCAGGGCGGCCCGGAGGGGCTGGACCGGCCCCCGAGCCCGCGCTCCGCTCCACGGGGTGTGTGGACGCGGACGTCTGGGGCGGGCAGCGTCCGCCGAGGTCAGTGGGAGGGCAGCCGGTGGTGACTGACCACGGGGACCGACAGGAAATCCCCCCGCGTGTGGGCGCCCGGCTCCAGACCCGCAGCCGCCGGCCTCCTGCGCCCTCCCTTCCCGGGGCTCCTGTGGGTCCGCGAGGCAGGCGCTCACTGATGGCACGTGCTCGTCAGGAGGAAGGACACCCGCAGGGCCCCCCGCCGGCCAGCCCATGACCTCCATCGCGTCCGCTCGGGGGCGCGTATCCGGTGCCCGCAGCGTTCTCGGCCCGGGCTGGACACGGGGGCGCCGGGACGTCAGAGCCATGCCCCCTGCCCGCGTGGTGTTCTGGGGCAGCCCTGGGACGAGGCGGGTCGGGTGACGGTACCACAGGGCCACTGGCAGCCCTGGGGACCCATCACGTGGCTCTTAGTTTTATTCACCTGTGTGCTTACTTACACACACGTGCACACATACGTACACACACATCATACATATACATACACGCACATGTATACACACGCGCACACGTACATGTACATGCACACACGTATACACGCGCGCACTACACACACCCACGTGCACACACTTGCACATACACGCATACGTATACACACACGCATACACGAACACATATGTACACACACACACATGCATACACACACACAGTTAAATCACTTGTAAGAGTTTTGGACTTCAGGATCGCATTTGACCCTGTGGCTTTTTTGCCTGAGACCCAGCAGCATTTGGGTGTCTGGCTGCGGCGTGCCTCCCCTTCCAGAGGCCCTGAGGGCCAGGGACCACCGGCCCACCGGAGCCAGTGCCTCTCCTGCTGGTCTCAGGTTAGGCGACTGTCATCCTGGCAGCCGCTCCCTCCACATGGTGCCCACAGGAGCCCCACTACTTGGAGGACGGGGACGCCTCTGAGCCATCTGCATGGCGCCCCCCGGTGGCCAAATGACCGAAGCTCTCCTAAGTGTGCCCCACGCACAGATCTCTCTTGAATGTTGGAAGAGGGCTGCCCTGTGACACGTTCCCTGCACACCTGCTCCCCTCCAGGCCAGGGCTCGCCCGTGCCAGCCGTGGACAGCATGCAGGACATCAGCTTCCATCCTTCCTATCAGTACCAGTGCTGGGAGTAGAGAAAAATGTCAGATTTGTTCATACTAAAGTGTTATTGACTTACCCTGAGGTTATGCACGTCCCTACTAAGTGCACTTTAAGGGGATTTCAGCACCACGAACTGTCCCCAGCTTGGGGGCAGAGGAGTCCCCATCCAGCCACCGTAGGGTCCGGCGGGCCCCGTGACCAGAGCAGACTCTGTGGCAGCCATCGCCGACTCGGGAGCTCAGCGTCAGGCTCCGTGTGCTGCCTGTACCACACCACACCCCGCGCCGGCTCATCCGCACCAGCGTCAGAAAGTAAATCCCAGGAGGGCCACGGCACTGTCTAGATTCCAAGACGAGCACACTGCTCTGGAAGCATCTCTGCGTGTACACACTCCTCCTCCACACCGCTCACTCACACGTGCTCACACACGCGCACCTCGGTTCCCTGTGTGGCACAGACCACACGGTGCTGCCAGGGCCTCCAGATGAGGCCGTGTCTGTACACGTGGGTTCTGTGAGCCCGGGGCGGGGGGCGGCTGACGTGGAATAACCAGCCCCCCACCCCACCTCCAGGTGAAGTTTCCAGGCTGGAACGTGGTCCCGCGATGGCGGGGCTGCCGTCGGATCGGCACCTCCGGGCCCGGGTCTGTGCTGGCACCTGTGCCACGTCTGGGGAAGGAAGGAGTTGGGAAGGCTTTCCGTCTCCGCCGTTCTCCTCCTCTGAGCATCTTTATGGGACCGTGTTTAGAGCTTCCTGACAGGGTCCTACCCCCTCGCTGACGACGAGGGCCTCCGGGAGAACTAACCCACTTGACTCCATTCTGTGTGTCTCTCTAGAAAGACAAGAAGCCCGGGCTTCTGAAGCTGCTGGCCGGCGCGTCCACCAGGAGGAAGTCGCGCTCCCCGCCGTCCACCTCGCCCACCCACGACCCCCGGGCAGCGGCGGACGCCTCCCTCCAGGGCGCGGTGGGGCCCGAAGTGTCCTCACTGTCCGTCCACGGCAGGGCCGGGTCCTGCCCCGTTGAGGGCGAGATGCAGGGGGCCTTGGGGTTGGAGCCGCTGCACAGGAAGGCGGGCTCCTTGGATCTGAGCTTCCCGTCGCCCTCCCGGCAGGCCCCTCTCTCCGCGGCCGCCATCCGCCCCGAGCCCAAGCTGCTGCCCAGAGAGAGGTAAGGGTGGGCCTGCGTCCTCCTGGGCCTGGGTGTGGTGGTCTGTGAGGTCTGGAGCCATGTTGGGGAACAGGGATGACGCAGGTTTCTGGGGTTTCAACCTGCCAGGCGGCCCTCACTATCCCATCAGCTCAGATAAAACGGGAGCGTGTTTCACGTTCTGAGTCCATCTGGGTCCTGAGTTTGTGTTTACAAGGGATCCATCTGGAAATCTGGTGGAACTGATGGTGTCCTGAGCCCGAAGAGCGAGCAGTGGAGTGAGGGACCTGCAACCCCCTGCCCCGCAGGAACCCGCAGTGACCCTGGGCTGAGCCCCCCGTAGGCCTGAGCGAGCCCCGCCCTGGGGAAGCTCTTCCAGGCTCGGCCCACTCTTGACACCTGGCCCCAAACTGCCTTCAGGGTTACACCATGTGAAATGGCCGGTATTCGTGTTTTTTGCCAAAGACAACAATTTCTTAGAGTTCAGCATAGAGTTTTCCAGGTCAGGAAACTGAGTCCCCCGAGGCCTCGGGTGCAAGCGGCCAGAGGCTGGTGTCCTGCTTGTGGGCCATCCCGTTTGAGTCATCGGTCCTTAGAGAGCCTCAAAGAGGGCTGAAGGGCGCTCAGGGGAGGAAACGCTTTCCTTTCTAAGTGCCCCTCCTGCTGGGAGAGCTGCCTAAACGGTGAAAAGGGGAGCATCTCCTGAGCGCGCAGTCCTGGCATTTCTGGCAGATCCTTCCCCCGCTCGGCCACACTGACCGATGCCAGCCCTTCCGTCTGGCCTGACACGCACCACACACGTCACACGCACACCCACCATGTACACCACACACACACACACACACACACACACACACACACACACACACACACACACACACAC